GAGCCAGCCTCCCACCATTCAAGGATCAGAAAAGTAATGGCTAACTTCAGAAAAATACAAACAGTAATTCAGTACATTGACCCACTTGTCCCACAAAGTGAAGCTGCAAGCAAATTGATAAGAGGGTCTAGTGATAAAAGTGATTGTTGGTGATACAAAATAACTATGGCGATCTCAAATCAAACCAGATGCATACAGCTGAAAGTCCCCACCTCTCAGTGAGCAGAATGATGTTTTTCGGAAGGCCTTGAGAGTCCTTCAGGAAAACTGTATGTACATGAATAAAATTATCCTACACCACCTTCCTCAGATGAGTAACACAGCACTGAAGGGGACAGAGGATGGCAAAGACAAACTTTTGTTTGTTAAGGGGATAGCAAGATGCAGAGATAACAGGCCATGCAGCAGCAGCCAGGTTTGTAAATATTCCATAAATAATCGTATCAGTTTGTTGTCCTACACTCAGCTTAAAGGATGCTGAAGCATCTTAAATGTATGGGGGCAATGCTGTTAGAAAATTGTAAATGAGTCTGAATAGATTGTTCCTACAAATACCAGGAATGTCAATGCCACTTATGTGTAATAAAGCATATTACCAGCAATCACTCAAAGATGTGTATCATTTCGTAGCTTGGGAAAAGGTGAGGTTTTTTCCTTCAAAATAAAACAGCAATGAATACGTATAAAGCACAATGTACAAGTATTTTCCGTATTTAGCCCAGCTGGCAAAGAAATTAGTATGGGAGGTTCACTTACACCGTGCACCTCCACGAAAATAGCTGATTGATAGAAACTTTTTGGTAGCACGGAAGTTAACTTCCTACAACCATTCCTCCATACTCCCATTCCTTAATGTAATTCACCACATTTAATGTAATTAATTTGGAAAGAAGGAAGAACAATTTTCCCAAAGGAATTTGCTGACTGACAGCTGCTTTACATAATCAGTGCAGACACAGCGGTGGTGGAGCATACTCCAGCTATTACCTCCTAATGGACATTTATTTTGCTCTCCTACTGTTTTCCGCAGCAAGATAGCTAGGGAGATTCAATTTGAATTCCTTCCCCTGTAAAATTAATTCTTTAGCTAAGCACGTGTGCTGCTTTGGGACAATAATGAGCACCCAGTGCCTGGTCAGTCTGCAGCTCACCAAGGGATTCCCCAGAAATATCAGTGTCACAAAGCGTCTATCCCTTCCAAAACTCTGACTTCCCAATGAGAAAATTGTAGTATTTTAGATACCGTTAGGTTTGTGTGAAGTAATGAAAATGCAAGGATGGCAATCATGTAAGACGTACTGGAGCACTTCTCCTATGAGAAGAGGCTGAGGAAGCTGAGACTGTTCAGCCTGGAGAAAAGGAGGCTCAGGGGGGACCTCACCAATGTGCATAAATAGCTGAAGGAAGGGTGCAGAGAGGATGGAGCCAGGCTCTTTGCAGTGGTGCCCCGTGCCAGGACAAGAGGCAATGGGCAGAGACTGAAACACAGGAGGCTCACTCCAGACATCAGGAAGCACTTCTGTGCAGGTGATGGAAAACTCTCACACAGGTTTCCCAGATTGGTGCTGGAGTCTCCACCCTGGGAGACCTTCAAAAATCACCTGGGCATGGTCCTGGACAGCCTGCTCTGGGTGTCCCTGCTTGGGCAGGGGTTGGGGCAGGTGGGCTCCAGAGGGCCCTGCCAACCTCAGCCCTTCTGGGATTCTGTGAAAATGATTTGTGATTGCTCGATGAGGGCAACTATACCCATGCTAAGAATCATTAAAGCTTTGGAGCCTATTTGGCTGAACACATGAAGTGAAATGGAAAAGCATTACAAAGAAAAAGCAAATCATTATTTGATACTTTTTTACAGTAAAGAGTTCTGAAGGAGGAGTGGGGAGTAGCAAATATGTAATAAATCCAGTATTTGATTCCTCCTGAATAATGTTTCCTTTATTTGTGGGAGGAAAATAATCACATCTTTCACTCCTGGCTCATTAAATACACAGGTGGGTTGTGAAATGTCTCTCTAATTTTCCATTTTCATTCCATAAATGAAAAATTCTGCATTTTTCTAATCTAATTTTGTAGAGAAGCATAAACATGGTAGGAGTGCCCTTCCTTTCCTCTCCCTCCCATTCCCCCATGTTCAACAGTAGGTAGTGCTCCCAGGGTAAAAATGTGCAATGTCTAATATGCAAATTAAAGATTGTTTTTCTGAGGAAGGAGAGATCCTTTGGGTTTTTAATGTGGTAACCAAAGAGTATTTAAAGAAGAAAATCTCTGAAGAGATAATGCCTGGTACTAACTGATTTTTAAATTCTGTGCAACTACATGATCATTCAAAAAATACGGAAAATACACATTTTTTCAGTCTTTTTTTTTTTTCCTTGCAAATATTCATCCAACAAATCGTTCATTCAACTCATACCCTGATTGTGGAATTACAATACATGTGCTTTATTGCCCAGATTTCACTCGTATTTGCTGAGAATGTAAGTAGCAATTCCAAATTACTTATAAGGTCTCTTCAGTTGTTAAATGTGTTTAATCTGCTTTATTAGAAACTATGCTCTTTACATATTCTTTCAAAATTAGATCCTAGATTTGTAGCACATGCTAGGGGGTTCTTAAAAGTCCTAAAATCTTTTCAAAGCTGTAAATAGCAATAGAAGCTAACATTTTCTGTTGGGTTTCTTTGCACTATTCATACAATATCTGTTTGCTTTTGAGTTTCGTGCTACAGATACAGTCTCACACATTCTTTATACGACGAGAGAGGTCGCATGAGGGACATAACTGAGTGCACTCAAATTCCATCCACAAAGTCATTAGCAGAGCATCATACAAATGCTTAATGAAATATAGAACTAAAGTGGCAACTGCAGTTGAACACAAACCACGAAAATCAAGCATTCCAGGTAGCTTTCAAAGAGGAGGGTGTAGGGTTTTTCTTAGACTTTCTTTGCCTGTTTACATTTCTGTAGGATTTCTGCAATATTTGCATAATATATTATTTGTTTATACACAATCTGACAAATCTGGCAATTTGCAAACAGTATATTTTGTTAATTATAGTAGGTGCATTGCCTATTTATGTATTTGAGCAGCTTGAGCTAAATTGAGGGAATAAAACCAATGAGGCAGGAAAGTCCAATTAAAAGTACATTAATCAAATGCCCCCCAAATGCCTTTCCTTTCTAACACATATTGTTGCACTTTATGTAGAGTGCCTGTTTGATGTCAATTGTCCTTCTGCATCTGATGCTGTATCTTACTCAATGTGCAGTAATAAATGTAATTGCCAAGTGCCTGGTCTTGGATGCTTCATTTCATATTTTATAGATTTTATAGTTCATTTAAATTTTAAACCATTCTTCTTTTTAAGATTAATTATAGCCCAGAAATAAAGAAAAATGAGCAAATGACTACCATGTTAAGAAATGACTGTATAAAACATCCTTTTTTTAGTCTACTGTTTTTTGCTGTAGTCTATCTTCTGCTCTGCACTGGAATAAGCAGATGCTGTTGGTTTTCATATAAAATTCAAAATAGGAAAGTGCTTCAACACAGCACTGAAAATTTGTTCCCTTAATATCTGATAAACACGATTAGCCTGACTCAGCTTCCAGTATAACACTATAAATCAGGACTATGTCTGTTGGTGCCCATGTGAGAAGCATATTTTGCTGTACTGATGCATCTCTCAATACAAGAATGAGGGCTTATGGTTGTTCTGCAACGTGAAAATTGGGTTTGCCATACAGCAGCAGCCTGAGTTAAGAGACAGAATTCCAGCTCTTTGATCCATTGCCACATTTTGAGAGGCAAAACAAAACAACAAAAACAAGCAAAAAGGAAAACAATCAAACAAAAGAAATAAAGTGAGATTCATGCAGAATTTAGGATCTGAGTTTTTTCTAGTTAATCCTGGGAATTCCTCAAATCCTGCTATGCACTTCAGTTCCTTATATGCCTAAATCACCCTGTTTTGAGAGCAGCCCTATTGCAACCAAGGCAGAGCAGTTTGGTGCCTGCCCAAATACAAGGCCATCCAGAGAAGGGGCACTGTTTATCCCCAGGAGAAACTCTGTCTGGCAGACTTTTTCAGAGCATACTGAAGGCGTGCTGACAAGTTTGGGCTCTGCACAACCTTGTTGAGGCCACTGGTTAAACGCAAACCCAGCAGGAGGGTACTCATGTCTGATACACAGAAAGAGGTAGAAAACTTCCAGAAAATGGCATATCAAGTTAAAATATTCCTGTATATATTCCTTATAGCTCCTTTTCTTCTATTTCTCTTTGTCTCCAGTGTTTTTTCTGCACAATGGCTTGGCTTTGAGAGAAGGGATGGATGGAGGGTCTTCCTTCTTCTAGCTTCTGGGGTACCCTGAGAGGAGTGATTGAGGCCTAAACTCTCTAACCATAGAAACATTTGGAGCAAGGTCTTGGTTTAGGATTTTCGCTGTCAGATTGTTGTAAAGGGGAAATCCAATGGCCTTCTCCTCTTTCAGTGAAAAATAGACAGAGGCACGCTCTGTGAGTGAAAGGAAGGCAGGAGTTCACCTGCAGAAGCTGAGCTATGGGTATCATCTCAACGTGAGGCACAGGAGACAGAGACAAGATGGGGTTATAGCCAGACTTTCTCTTCTCATCATTTCCTGCACATTAGTGCTACCCTGTGCTGAAATAAATGCAGCAACTTCAGGTAAGGGCCTAAGAGCAAGCTCATCCTTTGTATCCCTTTCTGAGCTACCTCGCCATGGGCACACCTGCTTCCAATCCAGCTGAGCCAAACCGAGAGGCTTCCCTCCCTCCTCACCCTCTGCACTCCCCCATTGCAGACACACCTCATTTTCTCTCACTTTCTCCACCTCTTTGCACCTGAGGTTTCCATCCTCTTCAGCTGAGCTGTTCATGAGCCATTCCTGACAACAGGAGCTGGTAAAGACTAAAATTAATTCTGCTCCAGCCAGCCCAGGTGAGGGCACCCAAGGCAAGCCAAGGAGGGGTCGTATGAATGGGTCAGAGGGCAAAAGTTTTAAGGCATGGTGGAAGCCAAAGGCCTTGCAGGAGATGAAAGAGGAGGTGTGTTCCTGGGCTAGCTAGCATTCTTTGTGGACAGAATAAGCTTTGGTAGGAAACTTAAAGATATTGCTTTATGTGGGTGGCACATACTGGGCTTGTCTTTAATGTTCTACAGGTAGCGACCATTTTGCTGTAAAGGGAAAAAAAGGAGCCTGTTTCCTATTGCTAATCAAGTGATTTATGCAATTCTTTGCAATGCCTGAGTATTCAATAGCATACCTTAATATTAACTATTAAATTTCCTCCAGTGAGGTGATTTTTAGGAGAGGAATTCTGAATTATCTTAAAGGGGGGTTCACCATAAAATTTTCTGTACCTAAAATGCAAGCATCTCTGGTGGTTGCATTACCACAGAATATTTGTCAGGATATTGGAGAAATGGCATCCCGTGCTAAGCTCAGCCTTTTCTGGAAGAAAAAGGGTTTGTTGGGGTACATGTTCAATATGAATACCAGATGCCATTTCACAGAATTAAAATTGTGGACTGCTTACCAGTAAATTTAGGCTTTCTGACTTCCTAGATATCTTAGGTTTAAAGACCAATATGTTCCCTAGTTAAAAAGCATGGAAATTGGATAAGATTTTAAGGAGAATAGCTCTAAATAATAAAGCTTGAATGCCACCTTCAGCTCAAGAAGCTCTTAAAACAATTGCAAAAAATAACAAGTTAAGTTCATTACCAATGAATTTTCTTTTACTGTATGACTTCCTGAATAAAAAGACAGGTATGCTTTGTTCTTAATGAGAAGTAAATAAAATATGCCCAGGTAAATGATTGCCTTTTCCATTAATAACACTGCTATGCAATCTGGCATATATTAAAAAAAAAAAAAAAAAAAAGGAAAAAAGCTGATAGTACTTTGGGTTAATTTGTTTGAATTCGAAATATTGTGCTGAACTAAAATTAAAACATATGCTCTGTGCATATGTTATGCAGGCAGGAAGAATTTAATGCATGAAGTATTGTAGATAGACATTCTCATAAGAAAATGAAGGCGTTTTTAAAAATGTGGATATGATATCCTTCTAGGGATATGGAGACTGAGCGGGTTTGCCTTGCCTTGGTGTTGTTTAAAAGAAGACTCAGAGAAATTGGAATAAAATATTTGATACAGTCCTCTGGCATTCCATGATATATGGCATATTAGCTTTTAAATTTGTTCTTTTATTGACATGTCTTCATATATATGAACACTACCAAACATTACATATATACATACACATATATAAAATATGAGTTCATTCTGCCTCTTAACTAAAAAAAAAAAATAGAGCTTGTTACATATTTACAGCACTACGTCCACCCTTCTGGTGTTCCAGCAAGGCAGTTTGATTTGTTGTTTTGCAGAAAGGGAAGACTGAGAAGATGGGAGGACTGCCCAAAGTCACAGAGTGGACAAAATAATAGAAGCAGATAGGGAAAAAAAGAAAAAAGAGCCTGCCTGTTTATCTCCTATAGTGGATGAATAATTCTTTCTGGTACTATTATTGAATTATAACAGAAAGTCTGATATTTCCTATTTTCTTACCTTCAACAGGATTCCCTCACTGTCCAGTAATGCTTTGCAAATTAATTAGCTCAATGGTAATTGGGAACCAGAACCTACTCCTCTGCCTATAAAATCCTCCTGCGTTTAAGTTAATATAACAAAGAATCATTTAAAGGAAAGAGAACCAAAAATCAAGATTTCTTCCTCCAGGAAAATAAACACCACAGGAGGCAATGACTGAGCAATGTATGTGCCATCTATAGCTGTAGGCTTCAGCTGCAGTTCTGACTTTCCTCATCCAGGCATAAAAAATGGTATCAAAACCCCACATGAATTAAACAAATAGAAATGAAATTATCATCCGACAAAATAATTTGCTTTCCACAGGATTTTCTGAACCTCACGCTCTGGATCAATGTGCTCTGTGTGTCTGGAGACCCTACTCTCTGCATAGGCTCCTTGGCCACCAGGTCACCTTATGGAAGTCTGCCATCCCGCTGAATAATGTATCCTCCCACCATACACCCACTGTTTTTACTTGGCCTGTAAACCTGTGGGACCCATTTTCCAAAATCCTAACTTAAGGGGTTATGTACATCATGACTGTGGAGCATAGCCAAGGGTCTTAAATACGGAGCAGCTAAAATTATGGTCTCTGAAAATGACAACAGCATCTAATCCCAGTGCCTGGTTCTTGATCGCCTGGTGACTCCAGTGCATGTGGAAATACCACAAATGAAAGTTTCTAAATGGACTAAGTGGAGTTTTCACAGTTAGAAAACCTTCAAACCATGTCCTGTGCCAGGTGGTACGTCCATGTTGGCATCACCAATGGTTGTGTCTGCCCCAAACCTGGCAGCATTTTGAGCTCCAGGCTAAGCCCCGGTACTTGGTGCAGGCGGGATTAATGCAGCTAAAGCTCTGGATGCCCAGTGCACTGCCATTTCCTGAGGCAAAGAATGTCAGAGCTTTTTAAGACAGGTCCCGCTGTTTTCTCTCCCCATCTCAGGCCATTGTTTCCCCTTCTCTTCTGGGTCATGGCAATTGGGAAAACTATAGAGTAAGCTGTGCCTGATCCTAGGGCAGACAACTGCACAGTGAAGACCACCAAATCCAAATGCAACTGAGGTTTCTCCTGCAAGTAACACATGCGCTGGGTGTTTCTGCAAGTAATTAATGTATTGGACATCTATGTTACCTTTCAGCTCATGATAGGAACCTCTGTTAGGAACCAGCAGTATAAGGGCACCCACTGAAAACTGGAGGTCCTTATGTTTAGTCCACATAGAATGGGGAGATTAAAAAATGAATAAACCTTAATCACATCTCCAAAGTCAAACAACTGCTCTGTAATTTGATAGGAAGTATGTTATTTTTGGAGTAGGTCTGCATTAACTCAAAATTTGGGCATTAACTCAAAAGTTGGACATAAAATTCTTCTTCTCTCCCTCTCTCTTTCTTTGTTTCTCCATTCAAATTAGCAGATGCACTTCCTATAACTTGGTACTTTTTCTGTCAATAACACACAAATCCCATGGAAGCGTGCCAAAGATTTTCTTAGCAACCAAGCCTCTTGCCTGATATACATGATTAACTACAACAGTCTGTTAAAAGCTTAAAATAAACCTGTCTTTTTTATTTAGAATTTCATGTAGTGCAATAAAATTAATTGGTAATGAATTTAGCACAATTTCAGCAGAATTTATTTATTTTTATGGAGGCTGAGCACTCAAGGGATGTCATGGTAAAAGCAAATGTCTCTGTAAAGGCAAATCCGCTGGGATCGGTCCAATAACGGTGAGTTCAGGTAAAGTAAAAGCACTCAACAATTGATGGTATTGGCTCCCCTATGCTTAAAATGTAAATTGATTCATTCCTCGTTAGTGTATAACATTGCCGTAGAAACCATCCTTCCCCACCACGAAGCAGTGAATTCCCTTATGAAAGATGGCAGCCTGACAAGGCGTTTCTAGTTCCAAGAGGGTAAATATTTTGGGGAAGGGTGCACAGACTCCAGGAATTGCTTTGAAAGTCTCTGGGAGGTGAAGACTAATCACGTTTTCTGAAAGCAGAAGTCGCAGTTGTTACGTTTTCAAATTCGCATAAAGTAGAATATAACAGAATGTCACAAGTTCTGTCCTCTTTCTAGAGGATCTGCTTTATCCTTGCTTAGGACAGTCTCCACTGACTTTTGAGGTCTTTGAATTAGACCCAAGCCAACCATCCACATATGCTGCAGACACCACAAAGCTCAGAGACCTTTAGGTCTCTTTGTAGGTATTAGAGCCAGCAGTAAAATACCCTATTTCTCCAACAGTCCTGAAAATAGGTTTTCAAGACTAGATGTTTTTTTCTGGCACTGAGGAAAAAAAAAAAACAACAACTATTAAGTAGGAGAATGGAAAACAAAGGAACTACAAAATGCAGCATTAACCATTATCAACCGAAGACCTTAAGTAGCCCTTTGTTCAGGTCTTTGAAATGGTTTATGGACAATGGCAGCTTTAGTGATCTCATAGGAAGAATGACTTCTCCACTAAACCTGCTGGTTGAAATTTAATGATATGCCTCCAAATACAATCTTCCTGATTTGTGTCTGCTGTAGGGAGGTACAATACATCACCATAACTCTTCTCTTCTCAAATGACCCACGGCTTCTAATGCAAACAGCTGCAGTGTAGTGAGGAGGAGTGACCGAAATGACCATGATAAAGCTTGCAGCAAGTTGGATGTTCTTAAAGTTTTGCGCAGTTGTGCAATCTAGTGAAGGGGGAAAAAAAATAGCTCCTGTTTTAAGTAGTTCTTGTAGCAGAAAGTTATTAGAAAAGTAAATATTGCACACACCTTTGAAGACACAGAGGTCATTATTACCTGGAACTAAGTGGGTTGAGCCATGCCCCGCTGCAATCTTTCGGTGTCCATAAACTCATATTGGTGCCAAATGTCAGCATGGGGAATCATATTTGCCTCTGCTATAGCATGCTAATAAAATCCAATGACCAATACCAGCCATCTCTGTTACTCACTTCTGCTGCCAGGGGAAGGGCTTCCACAACATTTTTCACTATGCTTCGGGCTGGTGCCATCTCTGACCTTCATGCTCCTGTCACAGAGGTATAAAATGACCTTGAAGTAACAGTCTTTTTGGGGGTAAGATTTGGTCCATGCCTAAATTTCTGAAGTAGTGTTGTGGGAAATATTCTTGTAGGTAAGGAATCTCTTTTCACCTCCTAGTCTCCCAAAATACAGAAGTCTGTAATTTCTTAGGATCTGATATGTGCGCAGGTTCTGGGGACCATGCACTAATTCTACAGGGATTGTGAGAAAAATATCACTTCGTACTGTATTGGATATTTAGTGTCAGTCTGAATTAAGACTTGTTTTCTGCAGTAAAAGCATTGTTTGAGGTGGGAAAAGATGATAATTCGAGCCAAGCCGTACCACCCCTGCAGCCAACCACTTTTAAGGATGGGGAGGAAGTCCCTTCTTTGATGTACAAGGCAGTAGTTCAGTCCTCATTAATTTCAATTAGAAGTTGATGAAGTTCTTTGGTTTATTACACTGTCATTTGCACTACATTTTCAAATTGCAGTAAGGCATTAAATATCCTCACAGGCAGTAACAGCTCACAGGGGATTTTACTCAGTGCAAGACACATAATGAAACCCAGCTCATTATTATTATTAATTATTTGTATTACTTTATTGCTTAGGAGTTGTAGCCATGGATCGAGACCTCACTGCATGATGCAACAAACCAGAACAAAAAGGCCATTACTTCCTTAATTGTTACAGATCTAAGGTCCTTAGTGGCATAGCTCAGTTTAGGAGCCTGAATGTGTGTGTTCACCTTTCTGAAAATTGGGCAACGCTATCTGATGAGCCGTTCAGATTGCCCAGTAAGTGTTCAGACTGCCCAGACAACATCTGCTACTCATCAGTGCTGTCAGAGCACCCAGCCTCACTCAGCCAGCCCCTGCGGAAATGCTCAGGCTGAGGCACTCCCACTATTCACAGCAGCCTCAGCCCAGCCTCTTTAGTCCTGAGGAGCAATGACCTCCCCCAGCAGCATCTCCCAGCCCTGCCCAGTCCATGCCACTGTCCCTGAGAAATGTTCCCACACAGAGCTGGCAGTAAAGAATTTTTGGAAGTGGTAAGGAAACGCTGAGATATCTTGGTGCATGGAATGGCCTCAGGAAGAAAAGGCTGTCATGCTTGGCCTCAGTTTGTGACTTCCCTCTTGGCTTGGCTGTGGAGGGTCTGAAAGCCCTTCCACTCACATCAGATGGCTTTCCATGGTCCAAAGCTGATGTGAAGGATTCAAAGGGGGAAGGCAAAATTAATGCAAAAGCCACAGGCCAAATAGCATTGCTGGGGCACTGCTAACTCGATGCCAGAGAAAAAAATGCTGCAGGGGTCAGCAGGAGCCTTGGCAGGAGCTCTAGGTAGGCTTTGGATGACGAAACTGCGTCTCCTGGAAGTGGTAAGTCTCAAATAAATACATTGGGTACATATTGTTTGACACGTCTGCACCCACATTCATGCAGGTTACGAGAGCAGCCTGAAGATGAGGGGTGTGAACTGAGATCCCCAGTTCCAGGGCCCTGACTGGGGTGGCCAACACAAACATCCCTCATGGAGAAAAGAGGCCAGGAGACGGCTTGGCTGGGACCCGCGTTAGTCATTCTGGGAGCTCATAATTACCCGAGGCACATCAACAAAACAGGCCTGGGCGGAACGGAGGAGAGAGGTCCAGAAAGAAGTTAAAACAGCTGTGTCAGGCACCCACGTAGAGATATTTGCTGTGTACGGGATTGGCCAGCAGCAATACACAGAGAGAAAGGAAGAGAGTGGAGATCTGCTGGAGCATCCCAGAGAGAGGAGTGGGTGAGGAGTGCCTTGGTAGTGGATCTGGAGGGATGCTCTTCTGTCCTTGCCGTTGCAGGCTGGCTCACCAACAGACCCCATTCCAGATGGTAATTGCCCTTAGGACAGAGCATATCGGGAATGGGGTCAGGGAAGAACAAAACAGTGGGGAAAAAATCAGCTCCTTTCAGTACAGAGGCGCTGCCCTTAGGCTATGTATAGACAGCATGCCTTGTAAATGAGAGGGAAAGAAAGGTGTGCAGAAAACAGTTGACAAAAGCACAGTACCTTGCTGTCAGCCACCTGCATGCCAAAAGAGAATGCCTCAATGGAGCCGTTTTAACCAGCACTGTATGTACATGAGAAGATGTTCATTCCTCTGTCAGAAACACTCACCAAGAGCTCCTAAATTTCTCCTTTTGAAAGGCTGTCGCTGGGTGACTTGGAGCACACACAACCTTCTGAGGCCTGATATTAAAGAAGAGCATGAATGGAGGACATAAGAAAAGATGTGGAATTTTGTGAGCATTCCCTGTTAATAGAATTGAGAATTCAGGTGTTCTCTGAGTTAAGACATCTCAACAGCATTTCTGAAAGTGAAAGCTCCAGATTTGCTGGGGTATGGCTGTAGGAAGATAATAGTTCTATTCAACCCTCAAAAGCAGAAAAATGAAGCTGTCCTGATGGCTAACAGAGAACCGTAGCCAAGTGGTAATACTGAAGAGACTTACTCTTTCACTGGGGTAGGTGGATATATCCTAGCAGTTTATTTGGGCTAGCAAATTCCTAGAAAATGTTATCCAAAGCCTGTTATTTCAAACAGTAAAGGAAGGGGAAAAACAAACAAACAAACAAACAAGGATGGCCCAGAAGTGAGGCCATTTTAGGCTCAGCTACCTCAACAGCAGAATAGTTTCAACAGGGGATGAGGAATCATGCTGAACTTGAGCAGTCATGCAGAAATCACTGCTGATCTAAAATAAAATCAAAGTGTGTGGGTGATTGCACCGAGTCCCCTACCAGCACCGTTCAGCCAGCACGGCATGAGGTGCCTGCTTTAGTGTGAGCTGAATTGGCGCCGTTGGGATCCATCAGCCAAAGAAGCTCAGGCATCTGATGTGCTTCTGCAGCCCACACCCAGACACCTCACGTTGGGCT